TAACTCATGGAGCTGACCTCTTCTTGAGAAGCCGCCAGTGGTGCAGCTACTCAAGAACTTCGCAACATTTTATGGAACCCGAAAGTTCATTACCGTGTTCACAAGAGCCGTCCACTGGTCCCTATCCTGAAGCACACCGATCCAGTCCATACTACCCCATCCTATCACTCTTAAGATCAATTTTAATATTAACCACCCACCTACGTCTTGGTCTTCCTAGTGGTCTCTTTCCTTCTGGCTTTCCCACCAATATCCTAGATGCATACCTCTTCTCCCCCATTCGTGCTACATGCCCTACCCATCCCATCCTCCTTAACTGTTACATAACACATTCAAAATTCGCATGGGCCTATACATGTGTACGGAAGCAATATTGACCATAGGTGCACACATCCTTCGACACTGCCCTTATTTATACAAACAAAACACACTCCGTGGCCTGTAGTCCGCAAGTGAACTATACGGACCGAGCGAACGCCGCTTGTCGGAGAATTTAATGCCAACTTTAGCGGATAGAGGGTATCGCGTGATCAGCGCAACGGATCCCCACCGCCGTTAATCTCGGTTTTCTAGCCCGGAGCCGCTATTTCCTTGAAACAGCTCCTCAATTATCCTCACGAAGCTGAGTGGACCCCGTTTCAGACCCACTACTCAGAAATTCTGGTAGCGCCGGGAATCGAAACTGGGACCTCTGAATCCGTAGCCAGGAACACTATATCACTATACCCACTAAAAAATATTAAACGTGTTTAAGCGAACATGGTTCTGTCTTGTTCTATTTATTTATTTCATGTTACTGTTTCTTTATTTTCTTATCAGAGAGCCAAGGTTAAGCACGCCAGGAGGGCCTGCCTGCAAGCCTAATCTGCTCCTTCGTGACGCGCTCTTTACATCCCATCTCATAACAGGAATTCTGCTCGGCAGGCATAGTTCGGAGCGTACCACGACATCTATCCGCCACAAAACACACTACAACAGAAGCTTGCAGACTTCCACTGTGTTCAAAAAAAAAATGATACACGTAAATACAAGCAAACAATTTTCATATGTAGCCTCGTATCATTCACTTTCTGCCACACGCTGTAACACTCATATTTATATATGCAGCTCCTCCACGCAAAGAGCCCCAATTGTAAACATCTAATATAACGATCAAAAACGTATTTAGATTCGAAGATAATTTTTTTCCCTGGATGTGACGCCGTGTATGTATTTTTATTATTTGTTGATTTATAACACAGGACCCCAGAGTTCGAGCGGGCGAAGAAGGTTCATGCCTTAGACCTTGCGACCACTGTGGTCGGTCTGGTATATATGAACATTTTATTATCCATATCCTATTGCTATTTCTAACAATTTTTTAATTCGCAGAGTGGGGAGTGGAGTCCAGTTGGGTCCACTCGGCACGGCGGCCACTGACTGGCCTATTGTACCTGCCCCGGGTGATTATGATGATGAAGAATTTGGTGGAATGAAAATTGGCAAGGGAAACGGAAGTACTCGGAGAAAACCTACTCCAGCGCCACTTTGTCCACCACAAATCCCACTTGACCAGACCCGGGTTTGAACCCGGGCCGCCGAGGTGGGAAGCCAGCGACTAACCGCTTGAGCTATGGCGCGGCCAATATTTCCAACAGTTACTAATCACTTAAAATTATTTCCAATTCACTCTCGTGCTTTCTTATTATCTTCTTCTTTGACTCCTTATAATTAATCATACTGTCACGTGATTAAGTGACTATATACGGGGTTTGGATTGGTAATCGGATTTATTGGACACTTACAGAACGTAATTGCAAATAGCTACATGAGACTCGCCGAGTTACACGCGCCAGAAACTGCTATAACTATAGCACACACAGAGACTCCTCAGTCTTCAACAGCCGTTACTTGGTAGCAGCTTCCAACAGCGGACTTCCCCTTCCTCTGGGTTCCCGAACTGTCCACGGCCTCAGCTACCAGCTTCTCACTTGTCACAGCTGTAACTCTCAACCGGCTTAACTCGAAGTCAAAATGTAATACGATCGAAAAGTGTCTGTCTGTCTGTCTTGGTGTCAAGCACCCATCTGGGGCCCAACACCAGATTTTTATTACTGTCAGACGGTTGCGGGATTGTTGATGTGGGGCGCCCTCTCTGACGATAATCTGGATCTGTCGTTAACAATTGCTGCTGGTCCTCGCAAGAACAGTCATTCTCAGATTCGAGTCTCGTGGGACTCGCGACCACATTTTATTATCTCAGATTCGAGACCCCTCAACCGCCCCCCCCCCAAAAAAAAACTGGAGGTCCAGATTCCCGCACCCACGGCCTCATGTATAGCGTATCAGTAACTAAGGGAAGTGTTTGTTGATCACACGTATCCACGGAAACATGTTCCGTAACGAGCTGGTTACGAAGAATATCTCTCTGAGAGAACGTGTTTGTCGTTCGTTCCCTAGCAACGGCTCTACATATCACAATATCTTCGACCCTAAAGATGAATGCAGGACGTTCCTCCGAAACGTTCATGAACTTCTACCCGAGTTCCCTGCTACACATCCCGAACGTATTCAACATCATTTTCTCTGTGACTACTTCAAATTCAACAAGGACTTACATTAGTTAGATTCTAAACGGTTCTGACACACAGAATTACTGATGTTCTGGGCTTTTTCCATCGTCCGGTCAATCATGTCAAATGATTGAGATTAGCTTTTTCTAATGGACCCAACTGAGTAGGTGTCTTCCTTCCACACCTGAAGCCGGAAACAGATCCAGTTACCGAAACGTCGTGTTTTCTATTTCTTAGAATTCCGGACGATGGAAAAAGTCCAAAACCCCGGTAATTCTGAAGGACTTATAACTGTTTTATGAAGAATATTCCGCTGCAATACATGTCGTAATAACAGACTCAAAACATGCTAAGATGCAAAGTTCACCCGCGGTATTTACGCCTCTTCTCGTTGATAAGGTTATATCCAGTTTACATAAAAGCTGATACAGAAAACAGATCACAGAGTAAATGCAGCCCTTTATGTTTCATTAAGGGCATGTGGCAGGGTAGTTGGTTGAGGCACTATGCTACACACCGGAAGGTCACGGGTTCGATCCCCGATTAAGTCAATGGATTTTTCAATTGACCTAATCCTTCCAGCCGCACTATGGCCCTGGGGTCGACTTAGACTCCAACAGAAATGAATACCAGCTATCTGTGAGCCGATTATCTGGAAAATGTGGGAGCCTCGACATCTCACAACCGTATATTTGGTATGAACTTTTTATATGCATATTTTGGAAATTTTTCATTCATAAATGCATGCATATTTAAGTGATTATTGAGGTATAAGAATCCTATCCCTAGTCATGATGTACGTACCAAATTTCATAAATTGGTTCATGTATTGGAACGTTAATGGGGGATACACAGGCATACAGGCAACATGGAAGTAGGCTAAAATTATTGTAATTAGTAAAATATACCCATAGATGGCTTGAATTAATTTTGTAAGAACATTTTCTGGCTGTCCCCTGGGGAGCTTGCTCCACCGTGGAAAAGAAATCCTCTCCGTGTACATGTCTACACATTGATGTGATGATAATATTAAAATGGATCTCAAATGAATGTTGTGCAAGTGTGTGGACTGGATTCGTTTGGTTCAGGAAAGAGACCAATGGAGAATTCTTTTGAATGAGATAATTAACATGCGGGTTTCATAAAACTCAGGGGACTTCATGACTAGCTCAGCAACTATCAGCTCATAAAGAGAGATCCTGTTCCATGGAGTTAGTTCAGAATGACCTGAAATAATTCCGTAATTCTTAAAACAATATTATGCATGCTGTTGAATTAACGGTTGTTGAGGAGAATATTTGGACCGAAGAGAGATGAAGTGACGGGAGGTCGGAGAAAACTGCATAATGAGGAGCTTCAAAACTTGTACTCTTCTCCAAGTGTAATTAGAATGATCAAGTCAAGGAGAATGAGGTTGGCAGAGGCGTGTAGCACGAATGGGGGAGAAGAGGAATGCTTATAGGATATTGGTGGGAAAGCCAGAAGGAAAGAGACCACTGGGGAGACCAAGGCGTAGGTGGGTGGACAATATTAAAATGTATCTTAGAGAGATAGGATGGGATGGATTGGTCTGGCTCAGGATAGGGACAAGTGGAGGGCTCTTGTGAACATGGCAATGAACTTTCGGCTTCCATAAAATGCTAGGAAATTCTTGAGTAGCTGCAGATTTGGCAGCTCTTCAAGAAGGACTCAGCCCAATAAGCAAGTAAGTATGTTGGACTAACATCTTTAGATTACTGTCAATTAATAGTCGCAATACGAATAAAAGGCTGTCATGAATTACTTTTCATTTAACGAAAATTCAAAGAAATAATAGTGTTGTAAAATGTGCCGATCCTACAATTGTACCACCCCAAGAGATCGATTGATCGCTGTACTGTCGAGATGACCCTGTGTATTTGTGTTTGGAATCGACAACTGCCACAGAGAAGTTTCGACGAAAAAGTGTTAATTTCAAATAAATAAATAACATCGAACATAAATTGCATAACCCCTTAACTGGTGTTTACGGTGTTTATTTATTAGTTAGAAACAAGTTGGGACATTTCACGTTATGGAACACTTTTTATTGTTAGCCCATGTTATAAACATACACCCTTGCAGTTAACTGCCTTCCGTTGTAACCACGTGACCTTCATTTCCTGGAACTGGGAGTCAAGAATGAATAACTTTCGTAAAAGTAACAACTCCCAATCAACAATACATGCTTAGTAAACAATCATTCAATTACTAATACAACACATTAACACAAAGGACTCAATTATATATTGGGAGACGTATTATGTTTAGTACAAAAATTCCCCACTAGGGTGTCTTGTAGGGGAAAAGAAGTGAAGTCAGACTGTTGCAACTACAAAAAAATATTGCTCGTCAACGATATTCTTTTGTTTTTGTGTCTCCTCCATGTGGTTGCAGCAGGCCACCGCTCGCGAGGAAGGCGGGAGAGGGGGTGAGGGGTAGCAGGGGAGAAGGCAACCCGCCTGTAGTAACTCTATTCAGTCCTGTGTGCATGAGCGTCAAGATAGAATGTGCGACTATGATAATATTAGTGACCAGCCTCCATCTACAGAGTCGGAACTACATGACGCCGTGAGACATCAGGATGTCATGGCTGTCGAACGCCTTTTGTCTCAAGGTGCTGATCCTGATGAACCAGACTGGACGGGGTCTGGAGATGCACCGCTGCTACATGCTGCAGCTGCTGGAAGTGTTCAAGTTGTCAGGTATGTTGTACTTTGGGGGGGGGTTATATAGACCTGTTACATGAATGCTAGGTTGTACCCCTCTCCAGACAGTTTCCTTTAATCACCAAAAATGTTTGATTAGGGGGCATACAGTAGCGTAGTTGGTTGAGTCACTATGCTACAAGCCGGAAGATCGTGGGTTCGATTCCCTGACCTAATCCTTCCATCCTCACTATGGCCCTGGTGTCGACTCAGCCTCTAACAGAAATGAGTACCAGGAATCTTCCTGGGGGGTAAAGGGCTGCCGGCGCGTAAGGCTGACAACCTTACTGCCATCTGTGAGCCGACTGTCTACATAAAATTCGACGTCTCACAACCCTATGGGCCTTCACGGCCTGTTACAGGGACACCTCTTCTTGAGAAGGGTATTCTTTTCTGAAGAAGTTTTCTCAGTTAATGCTTTTATTTGATATTTTAAACATCTTGTAATTCCGTATGGCATAAGAGACTTATCTTGAGTTCATTTCACCTTGATTACGATACGATAAGAAGTTCTGCTCTGAAATCAAATTACATTCCTTGCATAATATGCCTTATTAATAAACCTTTCGCGATTTTGGTGTTGATAATCATAGGATTGATAATCCACATCACAACTTTATCGCTCCTCGTGAATATACGTATGTGAAAGGGACCCACGTTATTAACATAAAATTAGTTGGAAGAATTTGTAAAGAAACATCTCATATCTCAACACCGTTTGGAGGTTGATAATTATGCGTGGAGCAGGCTTAACTGCAATGACAAGTAACGGTATGCTTCAAAGTTGCGTAAACAGATGTCTTTGTTTACCTAATACGAGTATTGTGAAATAAGTATTTCAAGAACTCTTGTCAAGTGCACATGAGAACTGCCATATCAGCACGTGCTTCGTGAAGTCAACATAACAGAAATTTATTTAATTAATTTGTAAGATTCAACTGCATTCTATCTGTTGATAAGATCTATGTTTTACAATTTATTAACAAATTAGACTGCTTACTGTCAGTTGATAAATATATTTTCTAACAACTTCGATATTAATTAAATCACACAAAGAGTATGAGGCAGCGTAGTGGGTTGAGGTACTATGCTACAAGCTGGAAGGTCGCGGGTTCGATTCCCGATAAGGTCATTCGATATTTCAATTCACCTAATCCTTCCAGCCGCACTATGGCTATTGAATTAGCCTCTAACAGAAATGAGCACCAGGAATCTTCCGGAGGGGGGGGGAGGGTTAAAGGGCGGCCGGCGCTTAAGGCTGGCAACCTCACCGCCATCTATGAGCCTACACGTCTCACAATCTTATGGGCCTTTATAGAATGTGGGAGGGATACCTTTACTCACTTTTTACTTTACCGTTCTCTCCCATTAAAGTAAAGACAAAGTAAAGTGTCCCTGTACGTAGTTAAGCACTACGCTAAGTGAACTTTTAGGGAAATAGAGGCATAGTTCCACTCGTTCTTACCCTCGGCCCCAGACGGATGACAGTGGACAGAATGATCGACAGACTACTCTGTTCCGGGGAGGAGAGACCCTGGTACCCATTGAATGGTCTGGATGGGCACCAGATGCAGTCTGGAGGCTACAGAGAAGATAGAAATCGAGCACCGATTCCTCGGTTTCCCAGCCAATAGTTTAGCTGTTATAGCAGCCAGAATGTATAACAGACCTCATACTGACCTGATTTAGAAACAAAATGGTGAACCCTATTGACATTATAATATTCCTTAAAACTTGAGTGGAACTGGTGAGAATGACCTCTCTTTCTAAAGGTTACGGTTTCGGAAACGGCCAAACGCAGAGCGGCTTATTCCCAACGCCATGAACGTTCATAGTGAGCGTAGCAGTTGAACGGTTAGTTTTCTTGCTTCGTACACCGGAAGTCCCGAATTCCAATATCGGGCCCGGAGACCGGTTAAACTGAAATATCTCGTGATTTTTCTCAGCCCATCCATCCAAATACTAGATAGCAGCGTAAAATAAGCCGCAACTGCTTCCTTCTAAATGTATTGGCGGATGTATTTCACCGATCTGTATCTCTGGTAACGTCGTTGTATCGTATATCTGAAAATCGCGGCCTGATCGTGAGACTCGAAACCCGAATTAAGCTGCGATTCCCGCTGACAGCCTTTATTATCATCCTATCATCGGCTCCAGTGAAGGGCTGAACGTAAATTGTTTGAAAGGAAAATATAGCTATTTTATAGCGCTACATTAAAAAAAGAACCACATCCCGTTGGGCCATGTGTGGCTGGAGATGTTCATTCAACTCCGTGTTACGGATATTCGGCGTAAACTGAAGGATGTAGAGAAAGACTGGCTTAGGTGCCGAAGCTTTTGGGTTCAAGAGCGTCACTACAAAATACAGATCCTTATTTTCCCAGAGTTTGGAGACAGTAATAACCAACACCTCGCTCAGATCTTGACATCTAAGCGCTATTTGGCTGATTCAAGGAGCAGAGTCCCTTTCTTTAGAAGCTGATAGTAGCTCAGCGGTCAAAATATTACCCCGTATTTCAAGTGTTATTACCGCGCTCACAAGATCCCATTACTGTACTCCACCCAGAGTCCACACCCTCACATAAAATTTATTCAAGATCCATTCTAATATTATCTTCCTGCCAACTGTTCTAAACTTGTATTCGGGAGGTGCTCGATTGGTATCTATGCCGAGACACCCGCTGTGCTGACCGACGGTTCTGTGGTTTTATTCAGTCCCCCCACACAAGTGCCGGCATAGTACGTCAATTAGGCCATGACCGTGTCCTTCCAAATCCTTTCCAATTCATCTACCTTCCGACGTTACATAGTGTCGATAATGAAACACTGTCTGTGTTTCTCGTATTTCTATGCGTGCTAAATGTTTCGCCCATCTCATTCTCGTAGACTTGATCATATTTGATAATAGCAAAGAAGGTAAACTTGCCCCTGTGCTTAATTAATTAAACACCACGCCATCAAGGCATGTGTGGGAGTGGAGGTATAGCTCCACCATTCTTGACCTCGACATTAGACGGAGGGGAGTGGTCAGCTTCACGTCCCAGCCGCTTTATCCCCAGTACCCGCTGGACAGGAGGCTGGGCGTCCCCAAAAGCCGGTCTGGACACTGTAGAGTAGATGAGAAATTTTACACCTGCTGGGAATCAAACCCTGGGCGTTCAGCCCGTAGTTCTTCGCTATACCGACTAAGCTATCACGGCTCTTTTCTCTCTCTCTCTCTCTCTCGGGTCCAGATATTCTACTCAACACATCATTTTCAAACACCCTCACTCTATGTATGGTCCTCCCTTAAGGAGCATAATGCATGCCTTGTTCATTCAGTGGGTTTTGCATTGAATTCTACTGTCGTGAGTGTGTATTTTTCCTGTCATCGGCCTCTCCCTTTACCAGCGTCGTCAACAATAGAGGATATATATATGTGTGTGTGTGTGTATGTATGTGTGTGTATACACACACACACAGATATACACTGAATTAATTAGTAATGCTCTTTACTAAGCATAAATTTTACAGAAGACCTTAAGAATACCATGTTATTTATATATTTACCTGGTAAGGTAAAGGTAAAGCTGTCCCTATGCTTAACTAATTAAACTCTACGCCATGAAGGTGTATGGGGGAGTGGATGTATTGATACACGTTTTCTTGACCTCGGCATTACTCGTAGTTCGAGGTGAATGGTCAGCTTCATGCCCTTGACCGCTTTACCCCCGGTACTCATTGGATAAGAGGCTGGGTGGGCTATAGGGCCGGTCTAGACGACGTGGAGAAGGGAAAATTCTTAACTGTACCGGGACTCGAAATTTGACCCCTCGTTAGTACAGCCCGTAGCCAGTCGCTATACCAGTTCCTATATTTACCTGGTCATTTGTCAACTTATTATTGATGTGTGGTCGTTCTTCCTCCAAACACGTAACGGTTTACTTGGTCCGCAGTTCGTTCGCAGTTGATTTAAACAACACGGTGTCTTTATGTGGCCTATTATATGGGGCTGTCAGTAGGTACGAAGGCTGTTAGAGAAATAGGACTGGGTGCTATGGGCTGGACTCATCTGGCTCAGGATAGGGATCAGTGGAGGGCTCTTGTGAACACAGTTCCGTAAAATATTCGGAAATTCTTGAGTAGCTGTGCGACTGATAGCTTCTCAAGAAGGAATCAGCTACATAAAATTAGTTTACTTAGTTAATTGATACAGGAAAATTTTCAAAATAGCTATTTAGGCTGAATAGAACAGCTCTCAGGGACCAGATCCGGCCGGCGGGCCGTAGTTTGACTATCCCTATTCTAAAGACTTATCGCTACGCCAACCCTCTCCGTAACATTGTGTCAAATGTAGATTATTTGACGTCGAACGAGATGTGTACAGTGAGTCGAAAGGAATGTGCAGCTACAGCCTATTTGAATATACTGTCGCGGTATTTGTTCGCAAGGTCTGAGGAACATTCCAAAACCTCACTCATATCACACATTGCCTCGACTGAGGCTCAGTCAGGCACATCCAGAATACAATTCAGATGACTGACGAAAAGTTCTGTCTTCTGGGTTGTAACGCCGTGTAGTCCGTTGAAAGTTAACTGACGTTTCGGAGGAATATATCGCTTCCATTTCCAGGGTCGAAGAATAAACCATGCAAGAAGCCAGCGTGAAAGCAACTTACAACCTTATTTCACGCTGGCTTCTTCCTTGGCTTTTACTTCTACCCTGAAAAGAAAGGAGATATGTTCCTCCGAAACGTCGGTTAACTTTCAACGGACTACACACCGTTATATGCCAGAAGATATAGGCTAACTCTTCAGGTGATGTAATATTTCTATAAAACTGAGTAACAACGGCACTTGCTAGGTAACGTCATCAACATGCACACAACAATAGACTTGTGTTCGCTGTGTGGTCCGTATCGAGATGTTATAACTGGGAGGTTTGGAGCTTAGTCAGTTTTATAAGGGAGTCTGTGAAGGGAGGAGGACTTGATCCGGAGGCAGAGGAATAGCCACTGTCGGAGCCGTTACCAGGAAACATCCAGTGAAGACACTGCAGGCTGGAGAAGACTTAGCATATAGTGATATATAGAATGTGGAAATCAGCAATAGTGTTATAGTTATTTGTATTTATGACCTGAAAGTGGTCAGTAAATCCATTCACCAACCCAAACCCAGTTTATAGTCATACACATAACACGTGGCAATGTAAGTCTATTATAAGAAACTTCACAACTCCAAGTTTTCAGACTTTTGAAATAAATAGTAACCGTAACGGGATATTTAATAATGTATTAATTCTTGTAAGATTACTTCTGGAAATATATCTTGTCTTAGGCTGGTGATAACCGATCAGCGGGCCCAAATCTGTAATGTATAACCTGATTACTATTGCAACTTAAGAAACAGCATTTAAGCACAGGTGGCAGGACAAGAAGACAGAAAGCTCCAAATTTAGCGAATCATGATACGAGAACAAACAGGATAGATAGGCGTGGCAAGCAAATAAGGAAGTCTTTGTTTCCTGACGAAGCAGCGGAAGTTCTTGTGGTTTAACATTCCAAAACATGACTTCCGTTCGTGGGTTTTTAATACGACAAATGCCACTTCACTCACAATTCGGATGCCAATTTACCTAAGATTTAATGTCACAGTATTTCCATGAAGAAATGCGTGAAACTTACAGATGAAAGCCTATCTTCAGGCTGAGATTCGAATTCAGAACTTCGCGATGACTAAGCACGAGTACAAAGTGTAACATTGTGATGCGAAGTCCCCTTGAACACTCTGTTAGAATTTAAGTACCAGTGGGCTGAGCGTTGTAGCTGGAAATAGTGAGCTTAACGATGTGTCCTTCGGAATTAAGACACCGGGTACTTTTGTGGAGGAACCATGTGTGCCCGCGGGGGGGGGGAATCCAGGCATCAGTCCTCCCACGTCGAGTTTTGAAAAAAAAATATCAAAACTTAAAAATTAGGGGAATCCCCAAATTTTAATTCCTAACATTAAAAAAATCTATCAGTAGAAATATTACCAAGCAGCTTAAACCTTAAGATCGTAAGCTCATTTCTGGTTGCTCGTCCCCTTGGAAATGTTCCTGGCGACGCGCATGGGCGGAACCCGCTACTTTCTGCATTGAAGATGGATGCAGCTTGTTCCTCCGAAAAGTTGATACCACGTACCAAAACTCCAGAGTGTCATAATACACAAGCGTAAATTTATGCAGGGGGCACGCGGTAGCGCAGTTGATTGAGGCGCTATGCTACAAGCCGGAAGGTCCCGGGTTCGATTCCCGACAAGGTCATTGGATCTTTCAATTGACCTAATCTTTCTAGACGTACTATGGCCCTGGGGTCGACTCAGCCTCTAACAGAAATGAGTACCGGGAATCTTCTTGGAGGTTAAGGCGACCGGACGGCGCGTAAGGCTGACAACCTCGCCGCCATCTATGAGCCGATTGTCTGGAAAATATGGGAGCCTCGATGTCTCACAGCCCTATTGGTCTCCACGGCCTGATATGATAGGTTTTCATTTTTTAACTAACTTTGTGTAATATTTGAAGCTTTTTACGTCGAATGTGTGGTAAAATCTTCTAGGGCTATCAGTCGTGTCAATATTGAAGTAAACGCCAACATTGACCCGGCTCACCGTCCGAGAAGATGTTATCACAAGACTATCCTAATCTTTATGGCCGTGTAAACCTCAGATCTCTTCTAATAGCATTTGTTACGTTGCATCAGGGCTTTATGCGCTGGAGGCTGTAACGTGAACGTCCGCACGGCTAGGGGAGAGACCGCGCTGCACCTAGCTGTTACGTCGAGAAAGGCGTCTGATAACCCTCATGAGCTGGTGTCGGCGCTCCTTGAAGCGGGATGCGACGCCAACATCCAGGAGAACTTGCAGGGACGTACAGCGCTACACGCACTAGTGCGCCTGCTCGCTGCCTGTGTAGCTGATCCCACCTCAAACGCCTGCCACCTCATGTTGGAGACTTTCCAGCAACTTGCGCAGAAAAGCGATGTAAACCTCAAAGATCACAGACAGAGAACCCCTCTGCACAGATTGGCTGCATCTGGCTGCACCCATCTGAAAACCTTCCAGGTCCGTGCACATTATTTTTAACTAATGATTGCATATCTAATTTTCCTGGGGAGTAAAGCGCGGCCGGCGCGTACGGCTGACAACCTTACCGCCATCTTTGAGCCGATTGTCTAGACAATGTGGGAGTCTTAACGTCTCACAACCCTATGGGCCTTCACGGCCTGTTACAGGGATAGCTTTACTTTTTTTTTACTTTATTTAATGATTGCATATCTGTAGTTATTGTCCACAACTTAAAACTTTACCTTTCCACTTCCTAAAGCTTTACCCTCTCATATATTTGCATCTACCAGAATGACGAGCGAGCATTACCTGGGAATCTTCAAAAGGTAAAAAAGAAAAAGTTTTCTTTCCCACTCGTCCCTTAAATGTACTGTCTCTCTCTCAAAATGACTTATCTACTTAACCACTACGATATGAAAACGTATGGGGGAATGGATGTACAGATCCACGTATTCTTGACCTCGGCACTTGTTGGTGGGTCCAGCTTCACGCTCCGAACGCTTTACGCCCGGGAAAGATCCATCGGTACCCATTGGATAGGAGACTGGGTGGACGCCAAAACCGGTCTGGACGACGTGAAGAGGAGAAGAATCTTGCCCCTACCAGGACTCGAACTCCGAACTCCTCGCCGTCCAGCCCGTAGCCAGTCGCTATGCCGACTGCGCTGTCCCAACTGCACCCCCCTCCTCTCTCTCTGTAATTAAATGACCATGCAATGAACTGACTCCTCTCTCGTTCTATCTCCTGTGCTACTGGTCAAATCAAGGAGGAAAATATTTTTATACAGGGCTCCAAAAGTGTGGACTTACGCTCGGCCATTGTTCACGGGCGCGATGATGGAGACAGTGGCAACAATGAATGTATTTCTGTGCTTGGCGGAATGCATTTTGGTGGGTAAAGCTGCTCAGTTTCATGAGACACCGTATTTCGTGGTACGACACTTCGGAGCCTCCTCAAAATTGCAGTCAAACCACGAAATAATGTAGGTCACGAAATTGGGTAAGTTTATCCTGACTTGAATTTTGCCTGTGGTTCTGTATGGGTGTGAAACTTGTCTCTGACATTAAGGGAGGAACATAGACTGAGGGTGTTTGAGAACAGGGCGTTGAGGAGAATATTTGGACCGAAGAGAGATGAAGTGACGGGAGATTGGAGATTCATAACTTGTACTCTTTCCCAAGTATAATTAGAATGATCAAGTCAAGGAGGATGAGATGGATAGGGCATGTAGTATGAATGGGAAAGAAGCTGAAAGCATATAGAATTTTGGTCGTACAGCCAGAAGTAAAGAAACCAGTAGGAAGGCGTAGACGTAAGTGGGAGGATAATATTAAAATGTATCTTAGAGAGATAGGATGCGGTAGTATGGGCTGGATCGATCTGGCTCAGGATAGGGACCAGTGGAGGGCTCTTGTGGACACGGTAATGAACCTTTGGGTTCCATAAAATGTTGAGAAACTCTGGAGTGGCTGAGCAACTGGAGGCTTCTCAAGAAGGACTCAGCTTCATGCAGTTATCCTGATTTGTATTTCTGGAACAGTGTTTGTCTCTTGTTTGATGTGTGTTAGGCTTTGTGAATAGGTAATCAGCCGATGCAACGCCTGTCTCTAGAAAGGACAACACAGAAAACGAGGTCCAAGCGGTATTCAGATCCACAGTCCCCGTGTTTGAGGGGTTTGCGACTTTAGAGCGCATTAAGACCTTACGTTATCTGTGACAAGTGCCGATTAATTTACAGTACAGCAAACTAATTATTTTTCAATAAAAATTTGAAAATATTTAGCGCTTTTCGATTCATAGTCAAGAAACCAAATCGAAAAGATCTGTAAATTATTTATTATTATTTACAAAATTTCCTCTTATAGATAGGTCATATTTCTAATAAACCGATTTCATCGTATTAATATATAATTTCTGTATTACCATGTTTTACCGAAACCGAAGGTACAACCTAGGCTGAATTAACGGGGAAGTTGATAACATAGGGCCTTTCCCAGAACATCTCGCTTCTGCCTTCACACGAATGCTCAAAATTAAAAAAGAAAAAAGCAGGAAACATCTGTTGCATTGATCTTATTTCGGAAATACTTGCAGCCTCGTACGAAAAGTGAATCCATTCATGTGAGTCACTGTGGGAATGATGCTGTCAGGTGACTCACCATGCTCAAGATATCCACGCACTTGAAAGAATGCTGTTTGTTTGCTTCGGGAGGGGCAAGTGTCTGTGAATGGCTGCAGAAGAATGTCGGAGTCCGAATTTATATAGCTACTGAAATCGATGCGGTACAGTGTAATTAGGTGCGGATCTAAACTGTGTGTTAATCAAATATGAAAAGGAGTCCTTTTGCTGTTTGTTCCTGTATTATCACATGTATGAGTAACTATAGACGGGGTTTGGTTTGGTGAATGGATTTATTGACAACTTACACACGACTGCCGATCACAGTAGCTGCGCGGTCTAAGGCATGAAATGTCTTTGTCTGCTCGAGCACTGGGATCGTGAGTTCGAATCTCACTCAAGGCATGGATGTTTGTCTGCGTGTATCCTGTGTAGGTAGCGGCCTTGCGACGGGCTGATCCCTCATCCAAGGAGACCCACCGGCTGTCTAATATTAAGAAACTGGAGTGAAACGAAGCGTTTCGCAGATGCCCTACACTCCAAGTGGAGCAAAAGGGATAGGTAGGTAGGTAGGTATGTAGGTACACGACTCGGGACTACAAGTAATTACACAGTTATCGCTGATCTACACACTTTAGAAATCACTACAACAACGCTAAGTCTCAGTCTTTTTTATGCTTCCCTAGTCGTTGCTTGGTAGCAGCTCTCAACAACGGAGGTTCTTCAGCTTCTGTGCTCACACTGTTGCCCGCTGGCTAATACTACTCACAACTGAGCTCATTGTTCCAACTGTCCCGGTTATAACATATCGGCAAGATCCACATAGAAAACACCCCGTTTTCAACAGTAACTCTATTTTGGCATGCGTATTAGTTGTGTTTACCGAGCCGTTGCACAGAAACAGCCGTTGTTTATAGAGACACCGCTTAGCAACGCTCTATACGCCACAGCTGAGGTCCTCTTGAGATGTTGACTCTCGCTCAGCTACTCAGCAAATTCACAGCCTTTTTTATAGAACCCTAAGGTTCATTAACTTGTTCAAAAACATCATAATTTGTCCATATCCCGAGACAAACACATCCCGTCCAAGCGCCCCTGACCCATTCTTAAGATCCATTTCAGTAATAAAGGATACTGCCTTCTAGGATATAACGCCGTGTAGTCCGTTGAAAGTGAACGGACGTTTCGGAGGAACATGTCACCTCCATCTTCGGACAAAGAGCCGAGCAAAATACCAGCGTGAAAGCAGATTTCTAATGATGTCTACTCCTAGATCTTCCTGGCGATCTTTTTCCTTCAATTTCTCATACCAAAAATATGTATGCAGTTTCTTCTCTTTTGTGCGTGTTACATGCCCTGTCCATCCTACGTGGGCTGGAATTACATATATTCCTTATACAGAAACAAATGGCTATACTTTCATTGTCCGTTAAGCGAGAAGTAGCGGTCTGAGCCACGACTGCATGAGATATCCTGGGAAGTGCATCTTGCGGGAGGGAGAGGGGCGTGTTTATCACATTTTACCGAAAGTGGATTAGCTGGCCCTCTACTTTGGGTCTATTATCGCAAATAAACTCATTATCAACAGCCACTGGTCGGTACGATGCGCGTTTCATTATAAATATTCTACAGTATTATTACATGTGGGCCTACATAACAATATTTCTATGGCTCTACAGCCATTCTTGGACTTGGACCGCTTTTTCAATTTCTTAATCTATACACAGTCGGTAGGACTCCTTGGATGTGGGATCAGCCGCTACCTACACACAGCAAAACACAAACACAGAATAAACGCGCACGGACATCCATGCCTCAAGTGGGATTCGAACCCACGATCCCAGTGTTCGACGGGGGAAAGACGGTTTTACTGCTTATACCGCGCGGCCACTGTGATTGACTAACAATATATCTAGTAATCGTTAATCCGTATAAATCTCGAACAAGATTTAAAAGTGTAAAAGTGTATACTTAACAGGAGTATGATGATAGAGAGACTATTGTATGCATGTGCATCTACTAGCGACATTAGTACTGCCTACCAGTAAGCGCGTGCAGCGCTCTATCGGCGCGTTTGTTACCATAATTTGACTCGGTGTCACTAAGATTCTATTTTATACGTAAAGTTAGCTTAGCAATATAATATTGAAGCATGCATAGGAAAGTAGGCATCACAAATCCTCTCCAGAAATAATTCTATTTTCATAATATTTACGTTTCTTTTTGCAAGTTTTGCGTGTACTTCCTGTTAAGTGTCTGTATACACTCCAGGTAGAACTTGTACACAGCTTAAACCGCTAACAGCAGTTTGTTTAGTTTTCATCCAATGTTGAAATCGGAGAAGACCCCACGCCTTGCAGTAGTCCTCTGGCAAGAGCTCGAACTCCCTCACATACCCCATCAACCCGCACCC